GGGTTAGAAGAACTGAGAAAAGCCCCATCCTGTAGATTGTTCTAGTTCTGGATGTACGAAGTTCGACACGGTTAGGATGAGAGGGCGAAGTCAGACGGGTCTGCTTGGCAGGTACAACGCACGGCGGCATCATGTAGGAGAGTACTGAGGAGCAAAGCCCGTTGGTGTAGCGATAGAACAGAGTTGGATCGCCGACCTCCCGCCGGTGCGAAAAGGTCCCAAGACTGCAATCGATCACTCGGACAGCATCGAGTATGAATAATGTAGTCGGGGCGGCAGCATCCCAAACGTGGGTAATACTCGAGGCTACGTCTTATCCGGGCATAGCAGCTGTCGCTATAGACGGAATGTGTTCTGGACTCCGACCATCCATCGAAACGGATGAGCGCTAGGACGCTTTTTGTTCGTCAAGTAGGAAGTCGGTGCAGTCTTCTCTAGCTCACCGGCAGGTAACGGCTTGTCGTTCTGAAGTGCTGCATGTAGAGTACTGTTATCAGCAACGCTGTGGATTGGACTGATCGTACAGAAAAGGAGGTCGTTGATATGCAAGACGAACAGTGTCGGATCCAGCCTTGAGAAACACCAGTGTTTGACGTTGTGGGATGAAGAGGAGAACCCGTCAATTACGATGGATATACAGGGTGTCCGCAAAGTTGAGGTTTTCCTTTTCAGAAACAACTATCCTTGAAATAACAAAGGTAATGTGTAGTGAAACGAGGGCGACCAAGTAAAAAAATAAAGGAAAAAGTACTCACTCTCCAGTTGTCGAGAAGGGCTAAGTACGTCTCTGCCCGAAATCATACCGCTCCAACAGAAAATGAAATCAGCTGATGCGCTACCGAGCAGACGCAGGCGGTGGTGCAGACCACGAACAGAGGTAACAAATATGACGGCGTTGCCGCGTTTTCAGTTTTTAGGTAAACGTACTTTATAGCTATTGTTCGAAGTTATCGCCGTTTGATCCAAAAACACAGGTGTGTGCACGACGTAGTCAAGCATCGGTGCAGGCTTTGAGAATGGAGTCCCTTCCCCGAATGAAAGCACCAGCTTGTTCAATTCTGAGACGAAGTTCGTCCGATCCACCTATTCGGAAATAATTCATTCAAAAACTCAGGCACTTCGCGTCTAAAATAGGGCGGTGCACCATCGTGCAGAAACCACATTGATTGTCTTACACTTAATGGCACATCTTCTAACAAGGAAGGCAAAATGTTGCGTAAAAAGTCTAGGTATTGCATCCCGTCCAATCGATTTGGGAGAATAAATGGTCCAATGAGCATACCGTTTACCATGCCAGCCCAAACATTCACCGAAAATGTTTGTTGAAAATGTGCCCGACGGACAGCGTGCAGATTTTCTACTGACCAAACATGAGTGTTGCGAAAGTTATTCACCCCATTACGCGTGAACGTAGATTCGTCTGTCACCAATATGCACTTCAAAAAGTCCGGTTTATTGTCATGTTGATGCAACAACCACTCACAAAACCGCACTCTTGCTGGAAAATTGTCAGGTTGAAGAGCTTGTACACGTTGGACATGAAACGGATACAGCCCCTCTTCACGCAGCGTTTGCCACACTTTAGTTTTGGATACTTGCACTAGTGCTTGTTGAGGGATTCTCGTCTACGCGATTATCTCTACACGCGTGACCGTAACCGTTGGTTGAAGGTTGCATACTGACCTGACACACTGACCCCGACCCAGTTCTGTCGTCGGGTTGGGCCAGTGACCTTGTACCACTCGGTGATGTCGCGGGTCGCAGCTGCAGGACGGTATTCAGATATTTTTGATGTTGCAGAGCCCTTTATCTCGGTTCCCTTAAGACATTGGTGTATATGGTACTAAGAAAAATTGCTTATGTTTTCAAGATCAACACGTCGTGTAAAGGAAAACCCCAACTTTGCGGACACCCTGTATTGCGGCCCGAGATAAAGTTAGTCATCCACCTGCAAAGCTTCTCTGGGAGGCCATCTACATAGTAGATAGTGAGGGAACTTACAAAAGATCCTCAAAACTATAAAATTACGACAGAGGATCCAAACACCGTACCAAGTTTGCTACAAATGAGAAAGCATGACAAGCGATATTACACGAGCCGTCGAAACGCCCCTCTTAATGCGGTAAAAATGAGATGTACTAATTTTCTGCCAGTTGTCCAGCAGCCAGTTGCGAGTTTATTAATGGAATCGAAACGCTGTAATCTCGAAACAAATTGAAAGGCTTTTTGATTTATCGTTGGAATATTGATGCGAATTTTTATGTTGATGCGCTGCGCGGAAGGTGCAGATAATTGCATTCTGTTGTTCAATCTGGACTGGGCATGTTGAGCTCAACAGCAGCCGTGACAAGTAAAAATAATGGTGTTAAATACATTGGCTCATTGTACAGGGTGGACCAACGAAAAGGTCGCACCCCCATTTGTGTCTATCCTGGTAGTTTTTGGGAATAACGCTCGGACACGTCAATTTTGATTTCTACGGGGATGTCTTTTCATCTATAGCAGTACAATACAGGGTGATCCAAAAATAAGATAAATATATAAATAGGTTTTTAAATGGAACCTCCATTTTTTTAAATTTTAGGTGAAATGGAGTAGAGTTCCTTCCCGAAAGTCCTTTATGAAAAGAAAAATAAGCAGAAGATTCTTGTTACAAGGACATTTGCTCTCAGAATCACTAATGAAGCCGTTGTCACCCTTCCTTCTCGTTTTCTAAATTATTCCCCCTCGTTCTTTAATCTTCTATCGCCTATACCCCACCCCGCGCTTCCTTCTAGATCCGCCATTGATTACTATACAGGGTGTCCGCAAAGTTGGGGTTTTCCTTTACACGACGTGTAGATCTTGAAAACATAAGCAATTTTTCTTAGTACCATATACACCAATGTCTTAAGGGAACCGAGATAAAAGGCTCTGCAACATCAAAAATATCTGAATACCGTCCTGTAGCCGCGACCCGCGACATCATCGAGTGGTACAAGGTCACTGGCTCAACTCGACGACAGAACTGGGTCGGGGTCAGTGTGTCAGGTCAGTATGCAACCTTCAACCGACGATTACGGTCACGCGTGTAGAGGTAAACGAACCCGTATAATCGATTGCGTTTCAAAAAACAACAAGCACTAGAGACGTGGCTAGAGAAGTGCAAGTATCAAAAACTAAAGTGTGGCAAACGCTGCGTGGAGAGGGGCTGTATCCGTTTCACGTCCAACGTGTACAAGCCCTTCAACCTGACGATTTTCCAGCAAGTCTGCGGTTTTGTGAATGCTTGTTGCATCAACATGACAATAATCCGGACTTTTTGAAGTACATATTGGTGACAGACGAATCTACGTTTACGCGTAATGGGGTGAATAACTTTTGCAACACTCATGTTTGCTAAGTAGAAAATCCGCACGCTGTCCGTCGGGCACATTTTCAACAAACATTTTCGGTGAATGTTTGGGCTGGCATGGTGAACGGTATGCTCATTGGACCATTTATTCTCCCAAATCGATTGGACGGGATGCAATACCTAGACTTTTTACGCAACACTTTGCCTTCCTTGTTAGAAGATGTGCCATTAAGTGTAAGACAATCAATGTGGTTTCTGCACGATGGTGCACCGCCCCATTTTAGACGCGAATTGCGTCAGTTTTTGAATGAATTATTTCCGAATAGGTGGATCGGACGTAATGGACCCGTAGCGTGGCCTCTGCGATCTCCAGACTTAATACCATGTGATTTTTTTCTTTGGGGAGAAATGAAACGCTTAGTGTACAAAACTGAAGTGCATACGGTTGACGAACTTCGTCTCAAAATTGAACAAGCTGGTGCTTTCATTCGGGGGAGGGACTCCATTCTCAAACCCTGCACCGATGCTTGTCTACGTCGTGCACGCACCTGTGTTTTTGAATCAAACGGCGATAACTTCGAACAATACCTATAAAGTACGTTTACCTAAAAACTGAAAACGCGGCAACGCCGTCATAATTGTTACCTCTGTTCGTGGTCTGCACCACCGCCGGCGTCTGCTCGGTAGCGCATCAGCTGATTTCTTTTTGTGTTGGAACGGTATGATTTCGGGCAGAGACGTACTTAGCCCTTCTCGTCAACTGGAAAGTGAGTACTTTTTCCTTTATTTTTTTTTTACTTGGTCGCCCTCGTTTCACTACACATTACCTTTGTTATTTCAAGGGTAGTTGTTTCTGAAAAGGAAAACCCCAACTTTGCCCTGTATATTAAAGTATTATTTATAATTATTAACTAAAGTATTAGTTTGTAAGAAGACACAGAAAAAAAGTGGTTGATCAAATTGATCAGTCTTGATATTTTAGCGCCAATATAACTTAAAGGTCAAGAAGTTGTAAATAGATTTTGTAGTCCTCATCCGTTCATGAACGAGTACGTTCTTCTCAAAATGTTTCCATGCGTGCACATCGAGAATCGTCGTTAGATAAATGGACCTACAGGGTTATTGGTAATTCCAGGGTGCGGTAGGAAACTGGAAATTGAGCTTGAGTCTAGATTATAAAACACGTTGTAAAAAGAAGAAGAAGAAGTAATGAGCAATGATATAGTTTTACAGTTAAGAAATGACTTCGATAACTGTGCTGATTTTTCACTGCAGCTGGATGAATCCACAGATGTCGTTGTCACCTCTCAGATGGGCGTGTTCGTCAGGATGGTTTTTAGTGATTTTACGATTACAGAAGTTTATTCGACTGCAGACTACTGGGCAGGGCTTGTTTTCTTCTTTTAAAAATATTATTTCTTCTGAGAAAATTCCAATATCGGAAACGGCAGACTTGTGAACAAGATTCGAGCTTAAGCGTTACAAAGAAGATTATTCAAAACCTTGGCCGAAGAAATTGACTGTCAATACGGGGAACTACTTCTTCACTATGAAGGCCAGTGGTGAAGTAGGGGACGAGTGCTGAAACGTTTTGATGATATCATATCTGCCATAGTTCACTTTTTCATACAACGTGCTTCAGGAAAGAGACAAAGAACTAGCAGAAATGGTTTCTGATATAAAAGCGTTTATCAGAAAGATTGAGTTTAGGGAACAAAACTTAATCGATTTCGATATAAGGCATTTTTCTGTTCTTTCAGAAAAGATATCTCAAAGTCCATTAGAACCATAAGACAGTAAATATCATGTAGAAATAGCTTCTGACTTGAAGGATAACTTCAAAAATCGTGTCAAGGGTTTCAACGAAATTGCAATTTGTTATTTCACCCTTCATAAAAATTGATACCCAACAGTTGTAACTTCTGTTACACAGAATTCTAGCAAAGACATCGCAAATTGAAGTAATTCAAAATGATTCAGCTTTAAAATCATTAGTCTCAAATACAAAATGTATCTGGCCTTCAGTAAGTAAGGCTAAATATTCAGTTTTATGTCGTGTTGCCTAGAAAGTGAAAGCGTTATTTAGTTTAACCTATTTGTGGGAATCTTCTTTTACAAATATGAAGTTTATTAAAAACAAATACCGTAATCGATTTACAGATGAACATTTGGATAATATTCGCATGGTTGATACCCAAAAGTTGTAACTTCTGTTACGCAGAATTTTAGCGAAGACATCGCAAATAGAAGTAATTGCATTTCAAAATGATTCAGCTTTAAAATCATTAGTCTCAAATACAAAATGTATCTGGCCTCCAGTAAGTAAGGATAGATATTCAGTTTTATGTCGTGTTGCCTAGAAAGTGAAAGCGTTATTTAGTTCAACCTATTTGTGGGAATCTTATTTTACAAATATGAAGTTTATTAAAAACAAATACCGTAATCGATTTACAGATGAACATTTGGATAATATTCGCATGGTGGTATCAAATTATATCCCAAACATTAAAAAAATTGTCAGTGAGTCTGGGTGTCAGGCTTCTGATTGAACACGCTTTTTTTATCTAGACACGTTTTTGTTTAAAATCGTGCATTGACTTTTTTTATTTTTAGTTACCTTCATTAAATCGTATGTGACTTACCATTCTAGCTGACGGAAAATTTTGTTTATTTTTCAAAGGTCGGAATGGATGTAGTTATGTATTAGTTGTTATTAGTTTATTTAAGTCTACAACTAAATAAACACATGTATATCCCGAACATTTGTGTATAATATCATTTAAGTTGGCTTACATTGCCTATGACTAGGTACCCCTCTGTTTATTGCAAAATTATTATAGGGTGACTTCGAAATTGAGTCATTTATTTTAACAGTGAGTAGATCTGATCAAAAGAAATGTTTTTTTCCTTTACCATTTTTCTGGTAAAATTAAAGTAACAAAGTTATAGCCCTTTGGAAGTTTGAGTACCGCCCTGTCTCAATAATAATATCATGTGCTCGTGTTTGGCAACAACGGATATAATCCGCCTTATCGGTTCATCGCATCGGAAACAAAAAAGCGAAAGAATTTGGAACGATGTTTTTACAATTATTTTATTCAGTTGTATACATACAGTCAGTGTCAGTCGGTAGTGGTGTCTGTTGCGTGGCTCAAACGAAATAAAAAATGGCACATGTTTATGCGGATCGGTTTCCCAATCGAGTGCAACCAACCCCTCGTGCCTTTGTTAATGTAGTACAACGGGCTCGTGAATCAGGTGACTTAAGACCTCACAGAGGACCTCACGATCAAATACAGGTCCGCACTGAAATACTTGTCGGGAGGATACTTTATAAAACAAGATAGACATTTTTTTTTTAATTTTTTTTATTTTTACACACATATTTTGGTTTATCTTCCTTCTACAATCATTATCTGAAAATTAATGACTCAACTTCAAAGACCCTGTATATTAAGTAGCTCAACACACTGAAAAGGTTGGCGACCGCTGTGCCACATCAATGTTTCTTGTGCACAGTAAGTAAGACAAAACATGAATGCCTCTTTTTCCACAAAGGTGGGCAAAAGGGGAAAACTAGAAAGTGAATGCAGACTTCTATTTCCATCTCGCAATAAGAGGCTCAATATTAAGTGATACTGAAAACGAACTCTTCTTATATCTTACAATCATGTTTTATTGGGTGTAGAATTTTTCTGTTTTATGATGGTATTATCTTATTTCAAGTACAGGGTGCGTCATCTATTACTTTTTCTCTATTTGAAAAATCAACACGCTTTTTCAAGGTGAAATCGAATTTTTTGATTGATAAATAAAGGTTGGTTTATGCCATAGGGTATCCCAGAAGTCGACGTCAAGCCGAAACCGGATAACAGGCAAAGTCATAACAGCTATCAGAAAAATATTTAAAAAAATTTTATGTATGTGTTTTGAAAATTATAGGTCTTTGAAAAAAATATAGAAATTTCACACCCTACGGCAGTCTATCAACTCCTGTTACTACAAATATTAACTTTTTGGATTTTATTTTTACAATGTAATGATGAATAATGCATCTTCAAACCAGTGCTTCAACCTTACTGCCAACTTTTCTCGTTCAGGAAAAATTGCCACTTATTTCCCAACCAAGTATTCCAAAGTAAAACTTTGCTCAACTTAACTGGCTGTACTGGAAAAAAATGTACTACGAGAGTTTGGCAAGTAACCTTAAAAGTTGGCGCATTTAATAAGGATTCCAAAATGGTATAACACTTAGAAGATTACTCGTTTAACTTATGCACAATTTTTATTTGAAGAAAAACTGATGAAAATTTTTCAAAATTTACTAATTAAACAGCGATTATGAAAACGCACAAGGACCCTTAAGGATAACTGTTTGCACAACAGTGGGCGTCAAAATGCTGCTGATGATGATTACCTTTAGAGCAAATGCTCAAACTGTTTTCCTTCAGCCGCAATACACGCTCGACATCTTCTTAAAAAGATCGGGTTATTAAACGAGCGAATCCACGGTTATTAACAAAATCAGCTGCTTCCAATAGTCTTTGCCGTAGCTCAGCTACATTTTGAATCGGCTTGAAATACACTTTTTCTTTTACAGTTCCCCAGTAAAAAAAATCTAACGGATTCAAATCTGGTGACCGGGCTGGCCACGGTATTGTACCAGACCGCCCTATCCATCTGCCTGGAAAGTTTTGATCGAGATACTCTCTCACTGAGAGTGCATAGTGCGCTGGGCAGCCATCATGCTGAAACCACATGTCCCTGTAAATACTCAGTGGCACGTCCTCCAGTAAATTTTCTAAATGATTTTGCAAAAACCTAAATTAATCTCAGCAGTCAAAGTCTCTGGGAACTTAAACGGACCGGTAATTTTACCATTTAATATTCCTGTCCAATGGTTTATCTTGAAGCGATATTGAGATTTATCTTCTCTCATCAAATGTGGGTTTGCTACGTGCCACTCGTGTAAGTTATGCAGGTTCATGTACCCATCTTTCTTAATGTGGTCTCATCTGACCATAAAATTTTTTCAAAGAACCGTGGATCTTCCCTGTGTCTTTCTAACATTGTGCGACAAAAAGCAACTCGGGGCTCATAATCCCAGGGCAGGAAAGGTGAACACGCTGTATGTGGTATGGATGAAGCACATCACTTACTTGCTATTGCACACTTTGATACCGATCAGTACTCCTTCGTTTACTGCGCATTTGACTCACTTATAGGTAAAAAAAAGTAATAGATGGCGCACCCAGTATAAACTATGAAAGTCAGTTGGTTTCTCCGCATTTCTTACATAGCTTTTTCTTATTTAAACACAGCTGCCCCATTTCGAGTGCTTGTTGTAAGGTCAGAAGGCTATTGATTTTCGACCACACGAATATGTGATCAAATTTATTGCATGTTATATATACCCTGTCACGCTCTGAGCGGAAGACGGCGAGACACCCTGCATGTATGCATCTCAAAAACTGTGCCTTGCTAAATTTCAACATTTTCAAGCTTTACCAACATTTCTTGACTATATCCTAGTAACCTCAGAACCTTTATCAAATTCTTCGAAAAGATTATATTTGTCAAGGCTCAGGCATTATCAGAAAGTTGTAAAACAAAAGCAGACAAAAACGAAGCTAGGTCTTTGTTGTCCTTCAAGAGTTCCTGGCAGCAGATTTTGTTTATCATATGTACTTTCGACGTCTAAAGTCA